CAGTCTTTGGAAACGGGACTTTCTGAGATATCCCACTGAAGGGACAACCTTAAACTAAGAAAACCGATGACTGAACTTGAACTGGTCTGTCATGGTGAGTGATTGAGTGTGTGTGTATGTGCTAGAGGGCATGTGTATGCAGAGGTGAGTCAGTAGCCCCTGCCTCTCTCTGCTTTTGGCCCTCTCAGAGAAAAGCACTCTGGGAAAAAGGCGTTTTTGTTGGCGTCCATGGCCTGAGCTGGTAAACGAGATGCAGCTGGGCTTGGGGCGTCCCAGCTCTGCATGTGAAAGAGAGGGAAAAAGCGCTGTGCTGCACGGAGCCGCAAACACGAGCCCGACTCACAGAGGGCAGCCTGCGCTGACCGCGGCCATCCAGAACATCCGCTGCACCAACAGTTTACACTGCACATCCAGCCAAGAACCAATGAGGGGGAAACTAACCAAGGAAGAAGCCAATGAGATAGAAATCTACAGCAACTGGACGAGGAGACAGAAGTTTGGGACACACTGTTTTTAATATGCAGTCGTATGCACAAGTTTGAATACACCTGGTCACATCACGTTTTGTTGATTTTGTAGGTCAGGGCTCGGCAACATGCGACTCTTTTACCGTCCTGTTGTGGCTCCACAGCAGAATTTTTAGGTAAAAATAAAATATTCCTCCTGTGAAGTAAAATAAAGCTCTGCTGACGTTTCTAACACAGCTTTAACAATAAACGGTCGTAGGCACCAGAGTTAATGATATCTGTTAATTCACGCTTTAACCCTGAAGGTTGGCGTGCAGACTGCTAGTCACCACAGCAGCGCAAACAGTCTCTCCTAGCTAGTAGCTAACGAAACAGCAAAGAGAAAAATTTAAGACGGACATCGATAATTTGGAGACGAATGGACTTATTTGTGTTTATAATCACTCCAGCTGGTTTCCTGATACGTTTAATCCACAACGAGAAACTGTCAAACACTAAAATGTCTTGAGGCTGAAGTCAGTCTCGAATTTTCCTGTTCAACCTTAAACGGTGCAGCAGTTTCGTTCTAGTGCCACAGGCGTCACTTAAGATGGAAAATTCGAACGAGAAGCTTGCGAAAGAGAAGCTGACTTCAGCCTCGTAAAAAGTCTAACACTGAGAGACATTTTACAAGAAACTCTTCTACTTTTGAGGAAAAGTTTCCTGAGATAAAGAGTAATCAGTAATCAGATTTCTCAGCGCATGTAAACTCTTGCTCTGGTTTCTTTCAGATTTCTCAGTCTGCGCATGCGCGAAACAGACGGCGGTAACAGAAATAAGGGAGCAGTGTTGCCGCAAGATGGAAGCAAAACACTTTTGGAGAGATGCTGAAGCCATTTACATGCTTGACGAAATGAAGGATTTAAATATTCCTCATCTTCTAGATGATGTATGTTCTTATTTTCGGGTCAATGTTTAAAAAAAAGCCGCGGCGTGAACTTTGAGTTTAAATTATGTTTACGTCGTGTCTTCTTCTGTGACTTTATTGGCTGGTTACAAAGCAGAAATCTGATTACTGTCTGACTCATGTAGACCTGGAGTTTCCCCATTATCTGATTATCCAAGTGCATGTAAGCGCTTTGATCGAATTACTGACAAAATCTGATTTTCTGCAGTTATCAGATTATTAAGTGCATGTAAACACAATCATTGTTTTACAAAAGTTCTGAGAAGCTTTTGGCCTAAAATATATTTTTTAAATCTGTTCATAATGTGCAAAATAATAGTTTTACGACCATTTTACTGTCATCAACATAACAAAACTCAGAAAACACATCTAGGTTCATTCTGGATATTAAATAAAATAGCAATATTTGCTTTATGGAAATCAAAACACCTGGTTCCTAATAGCACCACTGCAAGGCGGTACATTTCTCTTGAAACTTCAGTAGAATTGGCCTTTAACACAGTAAATCATCAGATGAAACCAATATCACAGGTGTAAATATTTGTAAAAGTAATTTCAAAACTAAAACGATACAGCAACAAAAAACCACCTTTAACAGCTTCAGCTGCTGTGCACTTTGTTCATACAAGCAGACGGTTTTTCTAGACATTACTCAGAAACGTCCTGTAGGCTTGTGGAGCTGGGTGGACAAACCCAAACCTTTTGTTCCAGCTTGTCTGTGCCAAAGGTCAGGATTAGTCAGAATTTATTCTCACTTCATTGAAAAGTCAGAGTGAAAGCAAAATATACTACTCCAGAAAATGAAGGGACTGAAAATAAGTCGATATTAACTGTAATTTCACTGTATACTGAGAAAATAAAGTCTGTATGTGGTAAAATGAGAACCTTTTTTTTTTTCGAGTGTACCATCATAAGATATCTCCAAACATCATAAGATATCTCCAAACATCTGACCAACAGTGTACCATCAGCTGAGACTGAAGCCGAGAGCATTTACTCTTCTGGCCAGTTGGGAAACTCATTAGCAAAAGTTCTTCCACACAGATGTGAGCAGTCTGGGCACAAATGCTCACTGTTTGCTTTCACTTATCTGCGCTGCTGCCCTTGGCTGTTTGGTAAAATGCTGCAGGCACCAATTTTCTACCCTATCAGTCTGCCAAGCATAAAATAACTCAAACGCATGATTACTGTCTGCATACGCTGTTAAGCATCACTGTGTAGGCTAGACGGCCTCCGACATGATGTAACAAACTGAAAGGGGATGGAGGAATGCGGCTTCCATTAGATGCAGCGACACGAACCAAAACAACATCTGATTTGTTTGCAATTTAATACAGAACTGCTTAGGGACAAAAATGTGACGAATCCCTTTTAAAAACACCAGTTAGAAGAACACCGGTCAGTCTGTCATACTGAGCCATATTACAGACACAGTTGATCATGGAATATTTATCTAACCCCAACCCTGAACTGTTAAATACTTCAACAGAAGCTATAAAAAATGTTACACTATCAAATCTTAGATGCTTGCATTTAATTATCCCTTCAGAAAATCCTCAGTATTAGTCCACAGGTTTTATACATCAACTCTTAGAGAAATTTCTTATTTTTGACATTTTTGAATTATAGTCACACTTAGACTACGAAATAACACACAAATCATGTGATTATTAACACTTAAACAAGTCTTCATATCCCCCTTTTCCCTGATGCAGCTTTGCACACTCTTGGCATTCCTCAAGCAGCTTCAGGAGGAGCCACCAGGGATGCTTTTCCAACAGGCTTGAAGAAGCTCCACATATGCTGAGCACTTGCAGCCTGCTGACAACTACTTGCATTGAAAAAAAGATTTTGCATGGAAAACTTCACTATTTAGACTTTTTTTTGGAATTTAAGTTGAAACAAAACCTCATATCTCCAAAATAGCAACAAGAAAAAAATGTTTGTAACTTTCAAAAATACGCTGATGTAAACAGATTCAGGTATGATATTCTGGCACAGTGTAAACAGCAGGTGGCATTTTCAAAACATGTTAAAAAATAAAACAACAACAAAAAGGGAGATACAGCAGTAGCAGCCTTTAGGTTCCATGTGTCAAACACAAGGCCCGTGGGCCAAGTCAGGCCCATGAAACAGGCCTATTCGGCCCATAAAATTATTTTAATTTTCTATTCTTACTATCCCGTTTCACCCTGAGGTGCACTACAGTCCCCAGCATGCACTGCAATATAATATGTGCTCTGAGTCAATAACAATCTATGTGCCAGCTGTTACACAAAAAGAAAAGATGCCTGGTGTCTAGTTCAAGCAAATAGACAGTTTTTAAAAACTTACCTTGTGTTATATGTAGCTAATGTAGCCTATCGTTTTATATAAAAACAATTTATTTCTATTTAAAATGATTTTTGAATAGTTTAAGTATTTGGTGCCTATTTTGCTGTTGCAGTTTTGGCCCACAGATTTGTTGAGATGCTTTAATATGGTCCTTTTAGTGGTTGAGTCTGACACCCCTGCTTTAAATCAAAGCACCTTTAAGATTCCCGTAAAACATTTTCAGTCCGATGTGCCCAAATTTTTTGACTCGTTCTGTAAATGAACAGGGTTATGCTAAAGGCAGAGCAGCACTTAGGGATAACAATGTTTCAGCACTTTGTTTTCACCAGAACAGTGTTGGACTAAATCAACAGCAAGAGCAGCTGAAAAGCCTGCTCTAAAACTCCGCCAGCTGCAGGATATTTCTGATGCTCCCTCTGATACACACACAGAACTCCAATTATTTGAGGTGTGGAAGAGTGCATGTGTTGGCTGTGCGTTCTATGTGCGTGGCGCAGGAGGAGGAGGAGGTGGAGGAGGAGGACGGATTTTACGGCTTGCCGCCCAACTGTGTGTTTAACAAGTGTCTGACAACTGATCGGTTTTAGCCTGTCTTCAAAGGCTGTGCCAAATGCCGCACCAGCGAGCAAAAAGCTCTTAACCAAAACAGAGCCCTGCTAACACAAGCTGCTGGGTCTGCCGACTCATTTTTTATTCGGTTGTTTGACACTTTCTACCGAATGCGTTGAATGGGGACTTTAATAGCACTGCTCTCATAGCTGCCTACATAAGCTTCTGTGCTGTAGATCAGGCGCGCAGCGAAGTTCAGCGATACAAGTTTGGCATCTGTGTGACAAAAATTCAAAACACGAAGTGTGAAGGGGGGAGGAGGTGGGTGCACTTCCACAGTCACAAGTTGAATAGTCCCATCACAAGAGCATTTGACCTAGCATGCAAAAAATAGCACTGACTTCTAAAGCTCCTGACTTGCTGACAATCACCGCGGCTCAGCTGAGGCAGAGCAGTCTCTGGACGCTCTGGACGCACTTTCGGCCAAGCGGCTAAAGTTTCTAAGTGGTCTAGCGTCTGTCTATTGTGTAAATGACGAGGTCATCTAAGTATGGTGTACAATTTGGGACAACGTTAACAGTTTAGCTTCTGGGTGCATCTTGAGTCTGAGCGACATGACCGCATATTGAAAGAAACCTGATTGACGCACCAATGAGCGTGAACAAGCTGGGAGAAAGAGAAGAAACTTCGTGCTGGAGACTCACCGTTAGCAGAGTTTATGGAGCTCAGTCCCAGGAGAAATAGCATCAGGGTCCAGCAGGTTCTTCCCCACGGAGGCACCTTCCTGTGGCCCCGCAGCCTGCTGGCCATCACCAAGCCTTCAGCCGCCCGGGGCATGAGTGTGTGAGTCTGCCAGCCTCCGAAACTCTGCCCGCCACACACACACTGTGATGTCTCCACTGCTACTCCACACTGATGGCCCGGCTGGGGAGGGAGGAGGAGAGAGAGAGAGAGGAGGAGGAGGGAGAGAGAGAGAGGGAGAGAGAGATAGAGGGTGTTACACAGTCACTGGATCTCTCAGTCTCTCACTCTCTCTCTCTCACACACACACACACACTCACATAGCCTCACACACACACACAAGCAGTGTCGCCTGCGTGTTTGGGCCGTCCCACTCTGGCCGGACACCTCTTGCGGAGAGGACAATAAAAGGAGCAGCGGATCCCTGCGGATAGGGCCGAGGCCCCGCCCACAGGGACCCCGCTGTCCCGCTCACGCACAGGGGAGGGAGGGCTACGCTCTGAAAGGAGGCCAGAGGGGCCTGGGGGTGAGGGGTGAGGGGGATGTATGGGGGCGAGAGAGGGGTCTGTGAGAGGCTGCTACTCTGACCCCTAAAGACAGGCACAAACACAGAGAGAGAAAGAGCGCTAAGCTCTCCGCATGCCTCCTCAACTCTCCGCATCCATCTGAATGCTCCTTCATGGCTCCCACTGACGGCTGCCTTTCAGTTTCGAGAAGGATGATTAGCAGGGAAAGAGCTCCGTAATTGTGGAAAACTGGCAAATAGATGAGAGAAGTGGCTGTGTAAATGTTGTGACTCGCTGCTACGTGATTAACTGCCTGAAATTTCAAGAAACCATTTGTCAAAAAATTGTTCTTCAACAAATCGGTTTAGATAATCTGCAGATAATCTAAAGGGGCTACAGCGACACTGTTTTTGAAGAGTACACTTCATCGATATTTAAAATAGCTTTTACTTCACGTTTCATTTAATACATTTTAAATGAATTTAACAGATATTTCAACTAAGCATCTATTAAACTCACCTTAATTTTACCTAACCTTAAACCTAGCCCTAATATTAATCCCAACCTTAACATCAACCCAAAACCAAAAGAAAAACTTGATACTACTGAAAATCAGTTTGTTAACAATTTCTACACTCACTGTCCATTTTATCAGCTCCACTTACTATATAGGTGCACTTTGTAGTTCTACAGTTACAGACTGTAGTCCATCTGTTTCTCTGCATACTTTGTTAGCCCCCTTTTACCCTGTTTTCAGTCACCCCCATGGACCCTCACAGAGCAGGTACTATTTGGGTGGTGGATCATTCTCAGAACTGCAGTAACACTGATGTTGTGGTGGTGTGTTAGTGTGTGCGGCGCTGGTCTGAGTGGATCAGACACAGCAGTGCTGCTGGAGTTATATATATATATATATATTATATATATGGTATGGTGTTTTTGGGGTGATATGCAGTGCCTTTTGACCTCCAAACATGGTGTGTATTATGGGATCCAAAGAGTTTAATTTTGGTCTCATCTGACCAGACTATATTCTCACAGTATTTCACAGGCTTGTCTAACCGTTGTTGAGCAAACTTTTTCTTCAGCAGTGGAGTCTCGCGCGGTGAGCGTGCATTCAGGCCATGGCGGTCGAGGGCATTACTTACTGTTTTCTTTGAAACAATTGTACCTATGGATTCCAGGTCTTTCTGTAGCTCTCCACAAGTGGTCCTTGGCTCTCTTCTGATAATTCTTTTCACTCCTCTGTCTGAAATCTTGCGGGGAGCACCTGGCCGTGGCCGGTTTATGGTGAAATGATGTTCTTTCCACTTCCGGATTATGGCCCCAACAGAGCTCACTGGAACCTTCAGTAGTTTAGAAATTCTTCTGTAACCAATGCCATCAGTATGATTTGCAACAATAAGGTTGCGAAGGTCTTGAGAGAGCTTACTGGTTTTACCCATCATGAGATGTTTCTCGTGTGGCACCTTGATAATGAGACATCTTTTTATAGGCCGTCAGTTGAACCAGCTGATATTAATTTGCACTAAGTGGCAGGATTGCTTTCTAATTACTGAAAGATTTCAGCTGGTGTCATGACTTTCCATGGCTTTGTGCACCTCTCTTCTTCATGTGTTCAATACTTTTTCTCTGTGTCATTTCTCTTTATTACACATAACCTAATTTATGGACATTTATGGTTTGATTTCTTTGCATGTGTGGATTGGATGGGTTGTTACCGACATCTGGTGAGAATTTCATGTCAATAGCACCTTTAGAAATATATTTACTTAGAAAATTGGTGACGTGTTCAATACTTATTTCACCCGCTGTGTGTGTGTGTGTGTATATATATATATATATATATATATATATATATATACATATATATATATATATATATATATATATTACTTACTTTAAAAAAATGAATTTGGTTAAAAAAGCACTTTACAAAGTTTGGACTCCAGACAAATTTCCACTGGTATCTCTGTATGACACAAAGTACATAACATATGAAAAAAAACACATTTAGCCGACCAAAAACCAACACATTACAGAATCCAAACAGAGGGAGGAACATGGTCTGCACAAAGCTTGAGGAGACGTAGAAAGTGGACAAAAGAAGGTAAACTTAACCTGTGATTAATGAGCTTTTTAACATTTATGACAAACCGATATATATGAATTGACAAAAGTATGCTGACAGGCTAAACAATTAGCAGCATATATTTTGAAGTATATCACATATTACCCCATATGTGGTCTCTTACATTGTATTATTTGCTACATGGCACTACGCCTTGCTATATTCACTCTGTATTACTGCAATCTACAAAAATCCTCAGTGCCAGTCACCACTTGTTTATTTACTGTTACTTGTCTGGCGTTCTTTTTATTTCTATTTTTATATGTAGTAGCCTGCTGTAGTATGAGAACTTCACTGTATTTCTGAATGCCCTGTTTTCTGAATACATACGACAATGAATCTTGAATCTTACATCTATTGTCCATACTTTAGCCCATTTAAACAGACAAAGGGGAAAATTGTTCAAACTTGATTTTCCGCCAAAACAACGCTTTAACTAATCGCTCAAAGCCAGAGGAAAACTTATGGCTACACACTTACAATCTGAGGTCAAATATGGCAAAGCTAGAGTAAGAAAAATTATCATGGGATAAGTAGCTGAGCAAAGACCCACATGCCCCTGCTGAAGGCTCCTTTTTTATGTGTTTGCTTAAGTATTTCCTCCTCCACTCTTCAGGGTGCTGACATTTGAGTGACACGTTATTACGGCCCGGTTAAGGCACACAAAGCAGCCAGTGAAAACACACAACAGTGAAAACCGCAATAACAAAAGGCATTCACACGTCAGGTGATTATAAGCCTCACCTCCGGGCCATGGCACGCCCCTCCTGGCTCTAATCTCCCGTGGAAACACCCCCCTCCCCACAAAACTCCCCCCCAATCCCACAGCAAAAGACTTTCTGGGAGTTGCAAGTTAAGCCGATTAAGCACGCTATTACCGAGATTACATCAAGTCGGTCATAGCGGTATTTCACGTAAGGAATAATTGGTCTGGCACCTTCCGCCGTGCTGTAAACATGCCCGTTTCCTTCTGTCGCAGCTTATAAAGTGTAAACACACGCACTTGTTTTTATATGCTCTGTGAGGACGTGGAGTCATGTCCCCAGCGCTTTTGTTCCAATATTCAAAAGTGGTAATATTTTTCAATAATAAAGTATACAGTGCAGACTGAAATACTGTAATACTAAAGGTATTTTAAGATGTTTGACATGTAAATTGTCATCCCAAAAAGTTAAAAGTTATATTCTGTGAGTATTTGCAATTTTTGCAAAAAAAGTTATCTGTCCAGAGATTTGATCATAACTAAGGCATTCTGGATATTAAATTGATTAATTTCATCATATTTCCACAAATTAGCTAAATTCTATGAAGTTGTAGAGCAGTAGCATCATAACAGAATCATTTTGTTGATCTATCTTCAACAATTTTGGTTATATTATTGAAAAAAGTGAGACTACATTTGAATAATACACTTCATGGATATTTAATATACTTTTACTTCATATTTTAGTTTTAAATGAATTTTAAATTAATTTAACAGGTATTTAAACTGGGGATCTATTAAACTCACCTTAATCTCCAAAATGATAATTTTACAAGAGAAGGAAAAAACACACTTTACTTTTAATGTAAGTCAGTGGAACCAGACTTTTTTCCAGGTAATTTTGGGCCGATTATGAAATTTACACACAATGTAAAGGCCAACAGGCATTTGCAGATAATGCCAAAAACTAGAAAACGACAAAAATGGAGAAACAATTTTTTTTCAACAGCAGCGATATTTGTGAATGAATGGTAATGCATATGTATATATGAACGTTAATGCATATAAAGTTAGGACTGCACTCCAGACCAATACCACTGTTATCTCTGTATGACACAGAGTACATAACGTACGAAAACAAACACATTTAACCAGCAAAAACCAACACATTAGGGAATCCAAACAGAGGGAGGGACACGGGTCTGCACAAAGCTTGAGGAGATGTAGAAAACGGACAAAAGAAGGTAAACTTAACCTGTGATTAATGAGCTTTTCAACATCCAACCCAACAGAACTATCACTCCGCTTCATCACTCGCTTTTATTTGCCTGATTTTCTCTCATCGCTTTCAGCCCCTGACGTGTCTCTCACTCCAGCGCTTCTCTCCAGAGAACTGCAGCCATTGATCATCTCCATTCAGAGACAGAGGAACCTGCAGGAGGAGATGAATCACTTGGCCTTTTCACTCTCCTCCTCTCCTCCTCTCCAGCCTGCTGTGTACCCCACAGACCCCCTCTGCTCCTTCCTGCCATTCCCTCTCTTCTCTCGCCATGGCACTCTGCACAGCCTCTGGAGGCGGATGAGTGAGAGAAACTGTTGTGTGAAAGAGAGAGAGAGAGCAAGGGCAACAACAGACAGAGACAGAGAGAGAGAGAGAGAGAGAGAGAGAGAGAGAGAGAGAGAGAGAGAACAGAGAAACCAAGAGAGAAAAAGAGAGTGTGGCAGGAAGAGAGAAGGACAGAGAGTGTGAAAGAGAGGGAAAGACAGAGAAAGAGACAAAGAGAGAGAGAGAGAGAGAGAGAGAATGGAAAAGACCAAGGGACCGAGAGGGAAAGACAGAAAG